TATAAAATGGGTCTAACTCAGCTCACCCTGCCGGCACCCTGGCGGGGAGGGAGGAGAGAGAGGGTTCAGGCCTCGATCTCTTTGCTGGGATGGTAGCAAGGAGCCCAGTTAGTATCAGTTCCAGCGGTGGTTTCTGGGATGGGACCTCCCTCTCCCACGGGCCGCCGGGCTGAGATCCAGCAAAACTCCTTTCCCCCGAGGCCTCGAAGCAGGAGTTCCATTGCTGGGAACACCTACTGCCCCTTGCCAGCCTGGCTGCGATGCCAGCTGCTGGAGGAAGTCCCTGCATGCCCAGCCAGTCATGCCAGTCCCCTGCTCTTCTGCCTCCCCAGCAGCCTCCTGACCCACCTGCCTCCTCCCTAGGCGCCCTGCAGGGCAGGTAGCTGGGACCTGGCATAACTCAAATGATCCCAGCTGCAGCCTCCCATCCCAGGGCTGGGGATAGAACCCAGGAGTCCTGGCTCCCAGGCCCCGCCCCTCTAACTCCTAGGCCCTGCTCCCCTCCTTGGATGGAAGGAATAGGCCCCTTTCACCTTCCCGAGGGCTGCTGATCCCTGATCGGCCATTACCTCCGGCCAGCCATGCACAGCCTGCTTGGGAATTGGTACTGTTCCAAACCAGGGCCCTCCCTCCCTCCTCCCCTCTGCACCATGGGAAGGAAACTGAGTCCCTCCCAGAGCTCAGTTCCAGCTCTGTGGCCCCATGGCCCCTCTGCTGAGCCAGCTGACCCCACCCCCACTCCTCCCTGGGGGGCACCAACAAGCAGGTTCCACTGTCTGGCGGGAGGGTGCGGAGGACAGAGGGAGCAGCCAGAGAAGGGCCTGGGGCATTGGCCCCCCCCCCCCCCCAGGGAAGTGTCTCGAGGTGTCCCCACCCAGGGGAGCACCTGAGAGGGACAAGGACTGGGGTCGCTTTGGGTTTGCCGCTGGTGCCGGCTGGGCCTGGCCCGGAGCTCCCCCAGGATGGCTGGTTGATTTTGTCTCCGTCGCAGGGCGGATGCAATCTGGGGGGGATAGTGGGGGATCCCAGGTCCATGTCCTGGGAGGGGTCTTGGCTGCCCAGGACTGATCCCCCTCGTCCAGCTCTGACAGCTGGCACGAGCAAGCAGCTGGGGTGGGGGGGGGCGGTGTCTCCATCTCTAAGGCCTGGGATGTCTCCGCCACCTGGGACCTCTCAGCGCAGACAGCCGGCTGCCTGCTGCCTGCACCCCGGCAGCTTTATAAAGCAAACCATGCCTTATATAGAGCCGCCCGCTCCTGGGCCCGGCTGCGAAGAATCCCCAAAGCCAACCATATATGGCCAGCCTGCCGCCGGGCCGCCGTGCACAGAGCAGGCTGGCCAGAAAGGTAGCCGAAGAATTCAAAGCAGGGGGAGCCCTAGACAAGGGCTGGGGGTTCTGGCTGGCTTGTAATAACTGACCATGGACGCTGGGGGGGCTAGCCCTGCCCCCCAGCTCTGGATCTGGGGCAAGGGGGGCCCCTGAGGGGAGCAGAGCATCAAAGCAGGGTGACCACCCACCCCGGACACGTGGGGGTCACTGATCAGCAGTAGCGGTTAGTAGTGGGATGGGGGGAGGTGTGCGTGTTTAACCCTTGCCGGGCCCCAGCCGGGAGCCCCCAGAGCACCCAAAGGAGCCCAGCTCTAGAGTTGTTTTCAGCACCCAGGAAATATTTTCCTCCCCATGATGCGTCAGCGTCCCCTGGGGGTGTGAGGGATGCAGAGAACTGGGGATGGGGCCGGGGAGCCCTGCCTCGTCTCACGGGTGGAGGAGCTGAGCGGCAGGAAACCAGGAGGTGACCCCGAAACCCTGAACGCCGGGTCCGGGGAGCCCCTCAGGAGTAGGGCCAGGGCCTGAGAGCAGGGAGCCCGGGTCCCCCAGCATTGTTACAGAATGTCCCCCCCTTCACCGGGGAGGCCCCCCTGGTGGGAGAGGGGTGCAGATCCATGTTAATTTGGGGGAGCAGCAGGTGGCCGAGGCCGACCTCCCCTGCCGTTCGGAGTTCCTGCAAAACGGAGATTGGGGTGGGTGGGTCCTTTCACTTAATGGCTGGGGTGAATGGAAGCGTCCCCCGGCACTATCTCTGCAGCCCGGGGTTTGCTGTGGGGACCTGAGGCCTGACTTTCCCTCTCCGTGGTTGTTGGCTGCTCCCCACCCCAGAGGTGGCTGCGTTTTGGTGGTGCTGTGTGTGTAGGAGGCCCCCAAAGTGCACTGGGCTCCTTCGGGGTAAAAAGCTTTCTGGGAATGTATAATACTGGGGAGTGGTGACAGTTTGGGGGTGATGTCCCAGGTCCCCTCACCCGGCTCCCCAGTGTCATCGAAGCAAAGGGAGAGGAGCCCCCAGCACTTCCTCTTGGCTCCAGTAGGAAACAACACATGCTCTAAGCTAGTTAGGCCTCAGGTATCCTACACCCCTCATCCTGGTATCTGGGCAGCCCTCTGCCCCCCCCCCCTCCACCTAGTGCTTTCCTGTCCTGATCTGGGGACGCTACTGGATTAGGATCACACGCAGCACTTCAGCATCAAAGCCATTACCCCTATTTTACAGACAGGGAAACTGAGACACAGAGAGGAAAAGGCCATAGAGGGGAGTCAGTGTGAGATCTGGGACTAGAACCCAGGAGTCCTGACTCCCAGCCCCCTGCTCTAACCACTAGACCCCACTCCCTGAGCTGGAGCAGCACTTGGCTGTATCAGTCTCGTGTCTCATACCAGCTACGTCCTGGCTGAGTCCTGACTGGGGCGGCGGGAGTGGGGTGGGGGGGTACGTGTTCCTGAGCAAGGGGCCGGGGCTGGGGGAGATGTTCCTGAGCGAGGGGCTGGCGGGGGAGATATTCCCAGCTGAGTCCTGAAAAGGGCCAGGGAGCCAGCGAGGCAGAGGGGCGCAGGGAGATTGCAGCTGGAGCTGCAAAGGAGAAGGCTCTCGCACCAGCAGCAGGGAGAGCTCAGGGACAAGGCTGTGAGGCCAGAGGGGCAAAGCCATAGTGAGCTCTACAACTGGGGAGGGCAGGTGGGGCCAGCATCTCGAGCTGGGGGAGGGGAGATGTGGTCACACTTTCTCGGGCATATGGGGAGGAAGGTAGCCAGAGCGGGAGGTGGGCAGGAGAGAGGGGGGTGGGATCTAGGGAGCTGGGGGCTGCCATTCCTAGGCCAGAGGGGATGGGGCTCTTGGGAGGGCTGTAGCTCAAGCCAGAGGGGCTGTGGGGCTGGAGGGATTTAGGTACCATCTGTATCCCAAGGGATGGAGAACCCTGGGCCCCCAGTCCTGGCTGCGGGCAGAGACGGCTCCCCTCTCTAGATGCCATAGGCCAGGGTAGGGGGGCATGCTTTAATCATCTTCTCTGGCTCTCGCCTAGCACTTTCCACTGTAGCCCTCACTGTGTTTACCAAGGAGTGCACGAGCATTGTCCCCACTGTACAGGTGGGGAAACTGAGGCACAGGAGGGCAAAGTGACTTGCCCAAGCTCACCCAGCAGGCCAGTGGCAGAGCCGAGATTAGGACCCAGGCCACTGCTGTGTGCTGGCCAGCAGGGGCCTGTGTCTGGTCAGTGGGGGTGGGGGTCTCATGTCTCAGCCCTGCGCTGTTCAGCCTGGACTAATGCCCCCACACCCCACAGGGAAAGTTGGAGGGAAGAGCGCTGAGCCTGGGGATGGATAGTTGGGGGGAATCCCTGGCTCTCCCCTCCACCACGGTAAATGCCTAGTGCTTTTGCAGGGGCGTGTTGGGAGCTCATGGGGCTCTGGTGTGTCTCCCCCCCCCCCCCCCAGGGATATCAGGCTCCAAAGGGGGCGTGGAAGCCTGAGCAGTTTGCGGGGTGGGGTGGGGGGAATCCAGCTTGGAATAAGGCAGGTTCCCCCCAATGCAGAGAAGAGGACTGCCCCCGCAATCTGCTTTGGGCACCCTGTCAGAGGGGGGGTGGGGATGAGGTGGGGAGGATTGTCTCCGGGTCTGGCTAGCCCTGGCAGTGGCGCCGTAGCCCTGATCTCTGCCACACAACCCCCCCACACCCCAGTTCAGCCCTTTGCCAGGCTTGAGGGGCAGCGCTGCGTTCCACACCTGTCCTGCTACCCTGTCGTCATTCATGTTTATTAGGTGTATTACGGTAGCACCCAGGAGCCCCAGCCGTGGCCCGGGGCCCCACTGTGCTAGGCGCGGTACATTATTTATTAGGTGTATTATGGTAGCGCCAAGGAACCCCAGTCATGGTCCGGGACCCCACTGTTCAAGGCACTGTACAAACACACCCTCCTGGCTCCTTCTGGGTGATTTCCTTGCTTCCCCTCCGCCCAGCTGTTTTCGAGACTCTTCTACAATAGGGCTCTCCCAGCCCACGGGGGGCACACCCAATGCCCTCCCCTGCCCGCCTGTAACCCTTTAGATCACGCTCCCTGGGCTAAGCCCCCTGTGCCCAGCTGCTGAAGGCCGCTTTGTTTGCTTTGAGGGGGCTTGGTGAGGGGTGCTCCTTAAATCCTGTTCGCCCAGCAGCCCACCAGATCTTGGTTCCTTTGCTCTAAGCCATGGTTGCTGATTCAGCTGGGTGGCGAGTGCGTAGACGGGGGCGCTCAGGAAGGGTCAGTTTGGTCTTTTCCCATTATCCAGCCTTCCCAGGGCAGCTGAGCTATTGGGGCAGAGAGAATCTTCTGGCTGGGATTGTACGAGTTATGAGATCAGACCCATGGGCCCGTCCAGCACGGTGCCGCCCCATCCCTGCCACCCTGGGTCATACTAATGGACCCATCCACCACCAGCCCTTCCCAAGGTGTTCCACCGTCACAAAACCCCTCGCTCTGCGACCCTCTCCCACCCAGAACCAACTCCTTCCTGACCCCCAGCCAGTGGCCAGCATCAGCCCTGAAGCCTGAGGATGGTTCGTCCTTGGGAGCAGCCGGGCCCATCCTCCAAGGTAGTATTGTCCCACAAAGCCTGGTCCCACATCCCGAGCTGCCACTGGCCCCGATCCTGAGCCACCCTGGCATTTTGGGGGCGATCCCCCCCCCTTACCTTGTTCTTGACCTCCGCTGACAGCCCGTAGGCCGGTCCCCGGTTGAAGTGTGCGGTGGACATCCTGCCTCTGTCGCCTTTGGCCTTGCTGGAGATGGGAGCCCTGCTTGGTGCCCTGTGAGCCTCTGCCTCTTCCTCGCTTTCCCTGCAACTTTTTAAAACTCTTTGCTCTCCGGCTCTTCCCCCTCCGCATGTCCGGGGGGGGGGGGACCTTCCCATTGGCCGGCCAGCCCGGCCAATCGCTGCCCACTGGGGACCCTGATGTCAGCCTGTTGGTATTAAGAAAGGATGGAGTCATTTTTTCCACCTTGGGGGCAACTGGGGCGGACGCTGCAAATATTTAGAGAACGCTGCGATTTATCACAGACGGGCAGAGTGCCGGAGGGCTGCCGCTCTCCCCACCAGTGTTACGCTCGCTCTGCTCCCACTCTCTGCCACTTCCACGCGCTCCTCTCCCCAGCCCTCTTGCTCCCCGCCGCTCTCGGCCCTCCTCGGCTTGTGCTGGTCTCTCGCACGGCATCTTATCGGGCCAGACCCCTCGGCCCTCCTCTTTCACAGCACGCTGCGCTTTTCACGCTTTGCAACCCAAAAGGAAAGGGTAGGGGAAAACCTTTCCCGGTACCCCGACGTTTTCAAAATGGAGCCAGTGGGTGTCCGGTCCTTCCCTGCCAGTTCCTCTGGCCTTCTCGTCGGCTCTTGATTTTGGACTCACACTTCACTTTGGCAGACGTTCCTCTGGATTTAAGATTTTCCCCCCCATCAGGAATTTGTATAAACTATCCGAGTATGATTTAAAAACTCCGTCCGCTCCTTTGAAACAGCTGTGGAATCGATCAAATTCCAGATCCTCCCAGAGGCCACATGTGCAGATACCTCTCTGAGTAGAGAAGGGCATTGCAAATCCAGGCAGCCCCCAGTGGCATGAAGTTGGTTGCTAATTGTTAGTGTTTATTAATGATTAATAATAATGAGGCTGCCTGGCTGGCACCTAAACTGCTGTAGTTAACAGATGAACAGGTAGATGGGCATGAAGGAAGGATGGGTTAAATTTTCTGCTCTGACACAGACTATCTGTAGGATCTTGGTCAAGTCACTTAGTTGCTCTGTGCCTCAGTTTCCCCATCCGTACTGGGAATAATTGCCCTGCTTTACAGGGGTGCTGTGAGGAGAAATACATTAAAGATTGTGAGGTGCCCAGATACTACATAAGACCCTTTGGAAATGCCAGCCTAATGTAACTAAGCCCTGGCGTTTGATAGAAAAGGGCTGGTTCTCCTTTGGCTTACAGTGGTTTTACCCTCATGTAAAGTTACTCCAGCGTCGCTGAGATCAGAATCAATCCCCCTTGCTCTCAGCTCCATCCTGGTTACCAACCCAAACGCACCCTCATAAATATCAGATGGTGTCTCAAAAAACAACCTGAGAGTTGTGTCCGGCCGGGGCTGAGTTCAGACCTGCCGATAAGATAGCGGGTGGGGGACCGCCCACGACCACGCCCACACCCAGGCAGACACACGCGCTGTCCGTACAGATCTAAGTACCCACACACACGCACGCTGTCTGTACAGACCCATGGACGCACACTCACACATTCTGTCTGTACAGCTCTATGCAGGCTCCCCCACACACCCACACACACGCACGCTGTCTGTGCAGACCCATGGACGCACACTCACACATACTGTCTGTACAGCTCTATGCAGGCTCCCCCACACACCCACACACACGCACGCTGTCTGTGCAGACCCATGGACGCACACTCACACATTCTGTCTGTACAGCTCTATGCATGCTCCCACACACACCCACACACACGCACGCTGTCTGTGCAGATTTATGGCTGCGCACACACGCACACCCTGTTAACAGAGGTGTAAATAAATACACTGGGAATAAAAGACCCAGACATTTGAGCCCCAGAGCTCCACTTTTTTGGTCCGGGGCTGTAGGCTCCTTTGAGACCTAAGCCAAACACTGGCTGCCTGAAGTTCCCTCGGAGACAAGCTCGTCCCTTATTCTCTCATGGCTCAGATATTGGGCACCTGGGCTCTGTCCCCAGGTCTGGGAGGGGAGTAGGGTCTAGTGATTAAAGCAGATGGGAGGCTGACTTACTTGCTAAGTGACCAATATGCATTTTAATGCAGCTCAGTGTAAAGGTAAACATCTAGGAACAAAGACTGTGGGCCACACTTACAGGCTGGGGCGCTCTGGCCTGGGGTCAGTGACTCTGACGAAGTCTGGGGGGTCGTGTTGGAGAATCAGCCGAACACAAGCTCCCGGTGCAACGCTGAGGCCAAATGAGCTGATGTGATCCTGGGATGCACAAACACGGGAATCTGGAGGAGGGGTGGAGAGGTGACTTCCCCTCTGTGTCGGGCACTGGTGCGCCCACTGCTGGGATCCTGTGTTCGGCTCTGGTGCCCGCTGGCCGAGAAGGATGGTGATAAATTGGAGAGGGGGCAGAGAAGATCTGCGAGAATGATTAGAAAACCTGCCTGATAGCGAGAGACTCAAGGAACTCGATCTATTTAGCCTAACACAGAGAAGGCGAAGGGGTGACTTGATCCAACTATAAGAACCAATTTGGAGAATTAATATCTGCTAAGGGCTCCTCAGCCTAGCAGAGGAAGGTCAAACACACAATCCAACGGCTGGGAGTTGAAGCTAGACAAATTCAGCCTGGAAACAAGGCGTTCGTTTTTAACAGGAAGGGTAAGTAACCATTGGAACAACTTACCAGGGGCCGTGCTGGATTCTCCATCCATCACTGACTATTTTTAAACCAAGGTCGAATGTGTTTCTTCACAATCTGCTGTGGAGCAGGTCTCTGGCCTGTTAGTCAGGAGGTCAGACTAGGTGGTCACCAGGGTCCCTTCTGGTTTTGGAATCTATGAGTCAGGACTCCTGGGTTCTGTTTGCAGCTCAGAGAGAGGAGCGGGGCCTAGTGAGTGGGTTGGCTGGGGGAGCTGGCAGTCAGGACGCCTGAATTCTGTTCCCAGATCTGCCACTGATCTGTTTGATTGCAGGTAACTCACTAGAGCAGCGGGGCTGGGGATTAGGACTCCTGGGTCCCCAGCTCTGTGAAGGGAGTGGTGTCTGGTGGTTAGAGCAGCGACTGTCTCACTCGCTGGCACAATAGAGCCTTGATCTGGGTTGGCATGTCTAAGTGCTACCTTTTGGAGACAGGAGACCAGTCTAGATGGGACATTGGTCTGATCTGGTTTGGCAGTTACCATCTTCAATGTCTCTACCCCCAGCCTGTGGTCGAATGGGAAATCTCTCCCACAGGTGGGCAAGGGGAGGAGGTTGTTAGTGATTTTTACACTGCGCGTGTTTAAAAGCCGTGAAATGCCTGGAGTGTGAGGGTGTGTGTGGCTGGTAAAGAGAGAGAAAGAAATATCAAATAAATCCCAGGAAATCCCCAGCGCTTCTCTGGTGCCGTCCAGCCACGGATCTCAAAGCACTTTGCTAAGAGCCTAAGGACATAGCACCGGATGGGGACTGAGGACTCAGCGAATCCACCCCACTGCTGTCCCAGGTAACCCCAGCAGGATCCCCATCATAAACTGGTCAGGCTCCATCTGAAAGCTAGATAGGGTCTCTGCCCCCCACTCCTGCTTGGAGGCTGTTCCAGACCCTCGTTCCTCTGAAGGGTAGAAACCGTCTTCCCTTCCAGTTTACTCATGGGGAGGCAGCGTGGCGTAGTGGATAGAGCACCAGCTGGGGGCTCAGAGGACCTGGGTTCTGTTCCTCGTCGTGCTGCTGGGTGACCTTGGGCAAAGCACTTCCTGTGGCTCAGTTTCCACATCTGTAACATGGGGGTGATGACACCACCCTGCTTTGAGGTCTATGGATGAAAAGAGCCAGGGATCGTCACTGCTCCCAGCCTGTGGCAGCTTCCTGCACCTGGGAGTCCGTGCACATTCCCCTTTAGATGCAAACATAAGAGCAGCCAGACTGGGTCAGAGCAAAGGCCCATCTAGCCCTGTATCCTGTCTGCTGACAGTGGCCAACGCCAGGTGCCCCAGAGGGAATGAACAAAACAGGGAATCACCAAGTGACCCATCCCTGTCGCCATTCCCAGCTTCTGGCAAACAGAGGCCAGGGACACCATGGGCAAGGACTATCCATTTTTCAGAGGGTTGCTAAGCGCAGCCCCAAATGAGAAGTCTCTGAAGAACGTAACCATGGAAAGCGAAGTGCTCCTCAAACCCTAAAGTCGCCGAAGCAACCCTGACAGACGAATCACCTTAACTCTGCCCTTTCTTGCTGCATTAGGTCACCATTTTCCAAGCTGGAGGCCTGGGAGGTGAGGCTCCTAAATCTGCATTTGGGCACCTAGATAAAAATGTCTACTGAGGAGCCTAAATCTGCACTGAAGAGCCCCCAGGTCTGGCCATTTTGGCCTCAGTCTTTCTTTGAGAGAACTGAAAAGATGATTTAGGTAGCATTGCATACAGAGAGCCAGCCAGTGGGGTCTAATGGATAGAGCAGAAGGGAGTGCTGGGAGTCAGGACTCCTGGGTTCTGTCCCCAGCTCTGGGAGGGGAGTGGGGGCTTGTGGTTCGAGCAGGGGTGTCTGGGAGCTAGGACTCCTGGGTTCTGTCCCCAGCTCCGGGAGGGCAATGGGATCTGGTGGTTAGAGCAGGGGGCTGGGAGCCAGGACTCCTGGGTTCTACCCCTGCCTCTGGGAGGAGAGCATGGTCTATGGTTAGAGCAGGGAGGGGCCTGGGCATCAAGACTCCTGGGTGTAATCCCAGCTCTGCCATTTGTCTCACTGTGTAACCGTAGGAAAGTCCCTTCCCAGCCCTGTGCCTCAGTTTCCCCATTGCTAGAATGGTCCCGAAGTTGCCACATGTTATTGAGCCTTCCCGGTGCGGCGCTCAGCTTGCTGGTTCCAGCACTAACCAGTCCTGCCTTAGCAGGAGGGACGTAGCTTTCCGCTTTGGTTGAGCCTGAGACGCTGACGGGGCGGGTTTAGCTCGGGGGCTGGGAAGGGGGTTGCTGGGAGGATGCGGATCCACAGTACAGTCCTGAGCCTCCAGGCTTTGCTCACTCACACCCATTGGACCCCAGTGTGCGGCGATAAAAGGCACACGGCCCAGTGTGTGGGCCCGGGTCAGCTGGCGGGCTTGGGCTGTGGGGCGAGAGCACTGGGCTGACGCCTGGCCTCTGGGACCCTCCTGCTTGGGGGTGTCTGACAAACCCTCCGTGCCCAGAGCGGGGTGCTGCGTTCTGTGGTGTTTCCCAGCCTCTCTGCCCCGCCAGTTTCCCTGCAGTCCGGGGGTGAGCTGGCCCCCTGCTTTCCCCACATTCTGGCTTTGCACCTGGCGGGGAGTCAAAGGAAAGATGGAAAACTCCTCTTGGCC